GTTGAGAAAATAAAGTCAGGGTTGTCCCGCCCCTTCCTTCCACTTGCACTTCATTATTGGTCCCTTAAAAATGATGGGCAGATTATGTGTCCAACAGTGAACATGGGAAAGAACAGGCCAACAACCTGCCTCTACAGAGCTCTGTAACATGATGTAAGGTGTGTGGAGGTTTTCCTGCATTTCATTCTACAACTTTACAAGTTTTTATTGGATGAAAAGAGTACATTTTACAGAGATAATACACCCCAAACCAAAAATGCATTATGTTGCAGATTACTAATTCTCTAATAAGGAGGCTGCATTAGTTTTTTTTTTTTTTTTCTTTATTTTCCCCTGGTGATCTTACCAGTAACTGTTATTTTTTTTTCAACTTCTTTTAACAGACCAAACTATCCCGTAAAAGTGGCAGTTAGTGAGTTGAATCAAACAATTTAAAGCGGAACTAAACCCGTCAATTTAATGATTTAAAGAAACCGTTACATTCCTGGCATGCAGGAGATGCTAACTGTCACATTTGCTAGGGTTCTCAACCAAACTGTCAAACCACCAAATGACTGGTGTCATAAGTGAAAACATGTACAGCATCATGGCAGCTGCAAATCAGAGACTAAAATGGCATCTTCCTTGGCTGAAAAGTATGAGGGTTTAGTTCTGCTTTAAGGCATGCCAGGAATGCTAAGTGTCACATTTCCTTCTGCTCTAAACGAAGGGTGCTCAACCTGTTGCCCTTCAGCTTTTCGCAAAACTACAAGTCCCATCATGCCTCTGCCTTTGGGAGTCATGCTTGTAACTGTCAGCCTTGCAATGTCTCTTGGAACTTGTAGTTCCGCAACAACTGGAGGGCCACAGGTTAAGCACCCATGCTCTAAACCAAACTGTCTAACCTTCCAATGACTGGTGTCATAACTGATCACATGTGCAGCCACATAGCAGTTGCAGATCAAGCACAGACTTTAGCTAGGTTCACATCTGTGAGGGTGGTTGTCAACGTGTACCTCACCTTTTCCCACAATCGCCCGCACAGTGAAACGCAGGAGATGCAGGCAGGTGCCATTTAATTACAATGGCACGCTGCCCGCACTGGAAATCGTACCCGCATTGGGGACCGCACTGTACTTGTGGTTCCTGTTCCTGTGCGGGCTGAGTTTTCAAAATAGTGCAGGGACCTGTTCCCTGCATTTCACGAGGCACTGTAGCCCATTCAAATGAATGAGTTAACATGCCCACGCAAACCGCAGATCTCACAGCTGTATATCTATATAATTATATGTCTCCCAGCTTAAGATGGCATGCTTACAATTGTCAGCTTTTATTCATTTATGTAAAACCTTTATCCCAACTGTTTCACTAACTGCCTAAAAAAAAAAAAAAGTGCTTAGTGGCTCCCGCTCAGGCTAACAAGGTCTGATGAATTGGATGCCGCTGACTAGTGCGGGTGCAGGCTGGTGAAAGGTTCGTCCAGATCCAAAGCACGTTGTAGAAATAGGAAAACATACCCCGACTGCTGCACACCTCACGCGGCTTGAATGGTTCGCAGGTAAAAGCGGCTTCAGCTCGATTCATCCAAGCCATGCACCCAACATGTTTTGCTCCTCCCGAGGGGCTTAATTCTCCATGATTAAGCCCCGAGGGTGGGACGAAACATGTTGGGTGCATGGCTTGGATGAATCGAGCTGAAGCTGCTTTTACCTGCAAACCATTTGAGGCGGGTGAGGTCTGCGGCGGCCAGGGTTTTTCTTCCTATTTCTACAGCTTGCCTAAAAAAAAAAAGTGTTAACCAGATCCTTCTAAATCTACTAGTGCATCTAATACCAACTCCCCAGATAGACAATGCTGTCCAAAGATGTCACCATTACGCCACTACCCTAAGAGATGAAGTGTACTGCTGGCCGGCTTTCCAGGTTAAAGAACAAAAAAACCTAAAAATAGAAAACGAATGCAGCCACCACATCTAAGAATTAGTATGTTGTAATAAATTACATTTTTGTTACCACTTTAAGCAAATATAAACCCCCCCCAAAAAATCAATATTGCAACTTGACAGTCCTTAGCTGTGGTGGCTGCATTTGTTGATATGTTTTAGGCCAGTTCACACTACAAAAATGCACTCCGGATGCATTCTGGATACATTTTTTGCTTACAGTTCACACCACATGTAGTTCCGGTGCAGTTTTGATGCAGTTTGCCATGTTCCAGTATGGTTCTGTGCAGAAAAAATGCAGCATGTTCTACTTTTTTTTTTTTTTTTTTTTTTTTTTCCTGCACCGGAAACTGACTGGAACTGAGTGGACTAGTGTGAACCAGGGCCATTGGAAAACCCTGTGCATGCAGTTTTGATTCAGAAAAAAAGCGCACTGAACTGCATCTAGTGTCAACTGGCCCTCAGGCTGGGTCAGGTTTCAGCAAGTACCAGTTAAATTTGGCAGAAATGCAATGTCCTTGTCACTTCCTGTGAGTGGGAAAGAAAGCTCAATCGTCCTCTATTGTGTAAAATACTGTAATGGCAATGAACATCTTTGATGTCCAGCCTGTGTGAAAATCATAGTGGAACCCATAGATACAATTGTAGATATGAAGGAACGGGGTATGTTGTTTGCAGGATTAACCACTTGCCGACCAGCAGCAGCACAGTTACTGCTGACTGGCTGCTCCACCAGGCACTGCAATGTACCCGTACGTCATGGTGCTCATGTGGGGCACACAGTGGCATGCTCTGCACCTGTGTCCACCAGACACAGCAAATTACAGTGCTCAGTATTGGACAACTGTGAGCGGCCTAGATACAACTTGATCACTGTGCAGTCACATGTCACCTAGTAAACAATCATCATGAAATCCATTCATGACATCATGATGTGTGTGATCTGTGATTGGTCACCAGTGATCACATAGTACCTGGGCCAATCATAGCACCCTGTACCATGTGATAGCCATGGGCCAATCACAGCACCACAATAGTAAACAATGAATCCTGAATGAAAACCCATTAATGACAGTTTAATTGATTGCTGTTTCAGTGGTGATCACTGTAACAAGCAATCACAGTAAAAAAAAAAAAAATTATCCCTGATCAACCCTCCCTCCCCAGAGCAGAGTTGCTATCTGTCAGTATTTTTACTGGCGAGCATTTTTCTCTTGCCAATAAATGCCAGTGACCGGAAAAGGTTGCCAGTTACAAAATCTGGCTGTGATGCTCGAGTGCCTGCTACAGTGTGTTTGGGAGGTGCCTGCAGAGGGCAGGTCTGGCAAAGGTGGTGCCTGAGCGTGTCATGTGATGTCATCAGTGGACCACAAAGTCAGGTCCGGAACCACCTTTATCATAGTGGCCCAGAAAAAACCCAGAGTAGACTTCACCTTATCCTCCCAGATTTGCCCACATGCAAGGTGATACATAGCATCCATCGATTACCTCGCCTTTCCTACTGTCACACACTATATATATATATATATATATGTATATATGTATGTATATGTGTATGTATACACACTGTATTGCCAAAAGTATTGGGACACCCCTCCAAATCATTGGATTCGGGTGTTCCGATCATCTCAATGGCCACAGGTATATAAAATCAAGCACCTAGGCATGCAGACTGCTTCTACAAACATTTAGCCCTGGTTCACACTGATGCAGTGCAGAATTCACAGTGGTTTCAGTGCTAATTCTGCACCGCATCACAATCGCAGCCTGTTCATACGAACTGATGCGGGTGTGTATGTTAAGTTAACAACACCCTGACATCGGTCCGCCAAACGCGGTGCGATGTGCAGAATCAGGTAGCATAAGTGTGAATAGCCTTCCCAGAGAGATGTTATATCTGCATAGGGTGGGCCAACTCAACATTGAACCCTACGGCCTAAGACTGGGATGCCATTAAAGTTCATGTGTGTGTAAAGTCAGGCGTCCCAATACTTTTGGCAATATAGTGTATATAAATTTACTTTTTTTTTTTTTTTTCAAACAGCACCAAAAACCCAACTGGTGGTTAAATACCACCAAAAGAAATCTCTTATTTGTGTTTAAAAATGATGTAAATTTAATTTGGGTACAGTGTTGCATGACCAAGTAATTGCCAGTGCTGAATAGCAAAACACGACTGTTTGTTATGAAGGGGGTAAAACCTTGCAGAGGTCAAGTGGTTGATGGATGCAAATAAAGGGGAGAAAAAAAAAGCTTGAAGAAAATAAACCATTGCTGCCACCACCTCTACGGACTGATAAGCTGCAATATTAGATTAGTTTTTAATGCTTTAATTATGCTTTAACTGATTCTTGTATTATCTCCTCACCACATACTGTGTCAATATGTAAACAAAAATGCAGCGCTAAGAAACGTATAAATAAAGTGAAATACATGCCGGCAGCCATCTTACTTCCCCAGATTGCCAGATGTGAGTGCATCCTACTATCTTTGTTTACTATTTCGCCACACATTAATAAAAATACTGCACTATCAAGTATTCTTTTTGGCTCATTCTTTCACGAGCCTCCCAAGGTGGAGTTCTTCAAATGCCCACTGTGTTCCCATCCATTGGTCAACAATATCTGCTGAGATGTCTCTGGAGATTGTGCGAGAGGTCTGCTAATCACCTTGTATGCTGACGTGTGCCAAATGATTGCCTACATCCCCATCCACATCCAGATGACCATGACGGGATAACTTTTACACAAATGTGCTTTGATATAGCGCTTCTGGTTAGTGCAATCACATTACCAGTTTCCAGTCACCCAGTCACGGAATTCACCAATACAAATACCGTATTTTCCGGCGTATAAGACGACTTTTTACCCCTTGAAAATCTTCTCAAAAGTCGGGGGTCGTCTTATATGCCAGTATACGGCATACTAACACTTTTTAGGGGAAGGGACACTAAGTACAGGGGTGGGCAGGGGGGCTGTGTTTCTTACTGGCTCCGGTCCAGGAGGCGCGGCTGCTCCTTCTGTTCGGCCAATACAAATACCGTATTGGTGTCACTGATACCAATGATGGAGCACTATACCTCCCACTGACACCAACGACGGGGCACTATTCCTCCCCCCCCCCACTGACACCAATGATGGGGCACTATTCCACCCCCCACTGACACCAATGATGGGCACTATTCAGCAAGTGTAATTGGTGTCAGTCCCAATCACTGACACCAATGACGGGGCACTATTCCTCCCACTGACACCAATGACGGGGCACTATTCCTCCCACTGACACCAATGACGGGGCACTATTCCTCCCCCCACTGACACCAATGATGGGCACTATTCCTCCCACTGACACCAATGACGGGGCACTATTCCTCCCACTGACACCAATGACGGGGCACTATTCCTCCCACTGACACCAATGATGGGGCACTATTCCTCCCACTGACACCAATGATGGGGCACTATTCCCCCACTGACACCAATGATGGGGCACTATTCCTCCCACTGACACCAATGATGGGGCACTATTCCCCCCACTGACACCAATGATGGGGCACTATTCCTCCCACTGATACTAATGATGGGGCACTATTCCCCCCACTGACACCAATGATGGGGCACTATTCCTCCCACTGATACTAATGATGGGGCACTATTCCTCCCACTGACACCAATGATGGGGCACTATTCCTCCCACTGACACCAATGATGGGGCACTATTCCTCCCACTGACACCAATGATGGGGCACTATTCCTCCCACTGATCCAATGATGAGGCACTATTCCTCCCGCTGACACCAACGATGGGGCATTATTCCTCCCACTGATATCAATGATGAGGCACTATTCCTCCCACTGACACCAATGATGGGGCACTATTCCCCCCAATGATGAGGCACTATTCCTCCCACTGACACCAATGATGGGGCACTATTCCTCCCCACTGATACCAATGATGGGGCACCAATGATGGGGCACTATTCCTCCCACTGATACCAATGATGAGGCACTATTCCTCCACTGACACCAATGAAGGGGCACTATTCCTCCCACTGATACCAATGATGAGGCACTATTCCTCCCACTGACACCAATGAAGGGGCACTATTCCCCCCACTGATACCAATGATGGGGCACTATTCCCCCCACTGATACTAACAATGGGGCACTATTCCTGCCACTGATACCAATGATGGGGCACTATTCCTGCCACTGATACCAATGATGGGGGCGCTATTCCTCCCACTGACACCAATGATGGGGCACCTATTCCCCCCACTGATACTACTGACACCGATGGGGCACTATTCCTCCCACTAATACCAATGATGGGACACTATTCCTCCCACTGACACCGATGATGGGGCACTATCCTCCCACTGGTGTGCATTGGAAGAGGGGTAGTCTTATACAGCGAGTATAGCCCAAACACTACATTTTAGCAGGAAAAGTAGGGGGGGTCGTCTTATACGCCGGAAAATACGGTATTTGTTTTATTGGACTATATGATATTATTAACCATCCAAGTCACTTGATTTCATTGGAACTTTATTTACTTATTTATTCACCATATCAATACGTCACATTTGGACGAACCACTTTATATTGTTTTACATATAGTGCTTGAAGGCGCTTGCATGTATTTCACTTTATTTAGTTTCTTAGCGCTGCATTTTTGTTGACATATTTATTCAGAGGATAAGAGGTTTCACCTTGATGCAAGCAGCTTGATGCCTAGGGCTCGTTTTTTACCTTGTTAACATACTGTATTAAAAGCAACGTTGTTTCCCTACTATGGCTGGGCATGTTAAAGATGCCACACCTAAGCGTTTTCCACGTGTTTTGCAGAAACGCAGTACAGTCCATTTAACATGATTTTCCTTGGGATATGTTCACATGTCCGCGTTTTCTACCTAGTGCGCTTTTTGGAAAAGGTCAGGGACTTTTGCTAATGCAAAACGTTGCATTTTTGATTCTATAGACTTCAATGGAAATGCTGCAGAAAAGCATGTACTGCATTTTTGCTGCATTTTAAATCAATTTTAAATGCCTAGCAACGAGAAAAAAAAAATTAAAGAAAAAATGCAAAAACGCATCAAAATGCATGTGTAAAAACGCACTGCAGAAACTGATCAAACGCAAGCTGCATAGGTGTGAATCTAGCCTAAGTAGTAGTAAATATGCATTTGTGCAACCAGCTTAGTGTGTCTTTATTATTTATTATTATTTATTTCAGGTACTTGTATAGCGCCATCAATTTATGCAGCACTTTACATATATATTATACATTCATATCAGTTCCTAACCCTTAAGGGGTGTACAATCTAAGGTCCCTAACTCACATTCATACATACACATACTAGGGACAATTTAGGCAGGATCCAATTCACCTACCAGCATGTCTTTGGAGTGTGGGAGGAAACCGGAGTACCCGGAGGAAACCCACGCAGGCACAGGGAGAACATGCAAACTCCAGGCAGGTGGTGCCGTGGCTGGGATTTGAACCAACGACCCTAGTACTGCCAGGCGGAAGTGCTAACCATTTAGCCACTGTGCTGCCCTTTATTTGCTAATTCACATGTACTTTTATATTTCATATAATAGTTTCCCTGATTTAGATTAAAAAAAAATAGTGACTGTCAACTACCATTTATTTATTCACCAGCATTGCCCGCACTATACAGAAACATCAACGGTTGCTCAGTGTAGTGGAGAGCATGGACAATGGCAAGCCTATTCGTGAGTCACGTGACTGCGATGTACCTCTTGTGGTTCGCCACTTTTATCACCATGCTGGTTGGGCACAGCTCAGGGACACCGAAATGAATGGTTGGAAACCTTTGGGTATGTAAGAACTTTTATAGGTAGATTTTGGTAAATTTGGAGTTATGAACCTTTTCTATAAACATGTCCTTTTTTTATATGTTATCTGTAGGTGTTGTTGCTGCTATTGTTCCCTGGAATTTTCCTCTGATGTTACTCACCTGGAAAATATGTCCTGCATTAGCTATGGGTGAGTTTGCTAAATGAACGCCAGCATTTGAAACTATTGATTGCAGTAATATAGAACTGAGCAGCAGTGGCAGTTGAGTTTACCTGCATTTTATTTTTTACCTAAATTTTCCTATTTTATGCTTTTTGTGCTGTATATTTAATTAGGATATTCCATAAACAGATGTTCCTGTAGTGTTATACACTACTCAAAAAAAATGGAACACTTTGAAAACACATAAGATCTCAATGGGGAAAAATATCATGCTGGTTATCTATATTGATATATATGACTGGGTAATGTATTAGGAACGTAACGATGCCCCATCGTTTGATGGAAGTGAAAACTATCAACCTATAGAGGATTCAATTCAAAGGTGCAGATACTGGTCCTGTTGATGGGTTAACAACCTTCTAAGGCGCTCTCCTAGAGTAACTGCCTGTCTCCTGGAATCTCCTCCATGCTCTTGAGGGAGACCCAGCAAACCTTCTGGCAATGGCACGTATTGATGAGCCATCCTAGAGGAGTTGGACTGTCTGTGCAACCTCTGTAGGGTCCAGGTATTGCCTCATGCTACCAGTAGTGACACTGACCCTAGCCAAATGCAAAACTAGTGAAAAAGTGTCAGAAAATGAGTAGGGAAAAAATGTCAGTGGGCTCCACCTGTAAAACCACTCCTGTTTTGGGGGTCGGCTCATTGTTGCCCATCTTGTGCACCTGTTGTTAATTTCATTACCACCAAAGCAGCTGAAACTGATTAACAACCCCCTCTGCTACTTAACTGAACAGATCAATATCCCAGGAGTTTAATTGACTTGATGCTATACTCCGATTAAAAAGTGTTCCTTTAATTTTTATGAGCAGTGTATATTTCAGATAGTGCAACACACATTGTCATTAACCTTTTCCCACCTGCAATCTGTTTGATAATGTGGTTCCCTATAATGTGTTGACACTACCACTTTCAAATGTTCATATGCTGTGCCATATGTTTAATAGCCTAACTGTCAGATGTTACATTATAATAAATAGGCTTGAAAAAATATAATTGCGTGAATAAATATTTAGCAATGTAATTTAAAAATAGGAAAAAAGCTATTTGCGCGTTTTTCATGTTTGTGGAATTGTCTGTATGTAAAAAGAGCGGATAAAAATTAAAAACTGCACGCCACATTAAAGCCTTATATATCATATATATTCTCTTCCTTTTCCTCCTCTTCCTTTTCCTCCTCTTCCTTTTCCTCCTCTTCCTTTTCCTCCTCTTCCTTTTCCTTCTTCTTCCCCCCCCCCCCCCCCCCCCCATCCTCCATCCTTCCTCCTCTTCGGCACCATAGTGTACAGAAATAATGGGTATCAGGGTACAACGTCTGTATATGCCACATAGTACCAGACTTATTGCCAGACACATCCAATAAGTACAAAATAAAGAAGCAAATAAAAAGAATGGAAAATAAAACAAACAGCTGAACTAAGAAAAAAAAAACCCAAAGGACACTGCTGCTGGTGACATAAAAGCAGCTTGAGCATGTCTCACAAGGAGGACCCTGATGCAGGGGTAACCTACATAGGAGGAGGCTTTATAATAATATTAATATCAAAGCATAGAATAGGGGATCCACACTGCAGATTGAAAAACCACATAGACTACCCCCCTCCAAAAAGAACTGTATGCACAGCTCAGCTCAAACTTCCATACTGCCAGAGATGGAGGTCATCTACCCAGACCATTTTTTCTCAAAATTCTTTGGACAGCCCCTGGAGCCATAAATCATTATATACGTAGGTAAATCCATATTTATCACTTCAACCCAAAAACTGAAAAGTGTGGGGGGAGGGGTGAAGGTTCCTTCCATTTGAGAACTAGAGCTTTTTTGGGAATTAAAAAAAATAACTGATGCAGTGTTTTCTGTGAGCCATGCATGTTCTCCTCTGTAAAGTCACCTAAGAGGCACCTGGTCAGAGTGCAGATATTAGGAATTGCTAACTTTTCCTCCAAGAAACTAGTACCAGCAGACCAAAAACCCCCTACTCTGGGCCATGCCCAAATCATATGAAAGTCCCCCAAATCCTGTTGTCACTGTGGGCATGTTGGAGAGTCCATTTTCCCCATTATTTATTTATTTTTTTTAAATGTATTATTGAAAGATTCGTAAATACTGCATT